ACGTTTGCCGGTAAGCAGGGTCCTCCCCGGAGTACGACAGACAGCTGACGCTGTGACTGTTCATGATACCAGCCAATGCAGCCCCCATGTTGGTCACCGAAATTTCCTACCCGACGTACCGAGCGCAACTCACGTCGTTGTACAACTCCCTCTGGTACACTGGTAACATCGTGTGAGTCTCCAAGCTTTGATCCTACTTCTTCCGTATTCAAACCGACGCGGATCTTTCCTTTAGAGCGTCTTGGACGACGTTCGGAACCTCAAATATTAGTACTACATGGTCTTGGCGTATACCTTCCATCTTGCAAGGCCTTCCGTCCGCTTTCCAGTTCTTCTTGGTCCTCCTGGCGCCGGAGAGTCCCCGTTGGCTGATTTCTAAGGGAAAGGATGCCCAGGCATTGAAGACGCTCGCTTACTATCATGCCGACGGAAACGAGCTGGACCCGCTCGTGCAATACGAATTCCAGGAAATCAAGGCTGCCATTGACCTCGACAAACAATGTGCGTATTCTAGTGCATGATTCCTGCCTAGAGATACTTAACATGTGTTTAGCCGCAAACAACATTGGATGGAGGTCTCTCGTTGCTACTCCCGGAAATAGGAAGCGTGTTATCATCATCGTAGCTATCGCTTGGTTTTCGCAGTGGTCAGGAAATGGTCTTGTGTCGTTCTACCTGAACAAGGTCTTCGACACCATCGGTATCACTAGCCCTACTGTCCAACTACTCATTACTGGGTGCGTGCCGCTCTATTTCCGTAAGCCAAACGTGACTTGTTAATAATTTCTTCCCTCAGAATCCTTGCCATATGGAATCTATTCTGGGCTGTATTCGCCTCATTCCTGGTTGACCGTGCCGGACGCCGAGTGCTCTTCTTGACTTCTGCTGCAGGCATGGTTGTTTTCTTCTCTATGCAAACAGTGTGTTCCGCGCAGTTTGCATTGCATGGAAACACGGCCGCCGCACACGCTGTCATTGCCTTCATCTTCCTGTTCTATGCTGCTTACGAGTGAGTGTTACCTACTGGATGTGCCTGATGGCAAGGCTAACATTATGCCTGATGTGTAGCATTGCATTCACGCCTCTCATTGTCTCGTACACAGTCGAGATCTTACCATACTCATTGCGTGCGAAGGGATTCAACGTGTTCAACTTCGTTGTCTCCCTTTCTCTAATCTTCAACCAATACGTCAACCCTATCGCTCTTCAAAACATAGCCTGGAAGTACTATGTGGGTACTCATATATATTTTTTGTTGTGAATGGGCTAAGTAACTCCCCTCAGATTGTATACTGCTGCTGGCTTGCATTCGAGTTTGGCTTCCTCTACTTTATGATCATCGAGACGAAGAACCGCACGCTCGAGGAGACGGCGGCGCTCTTCGATGGCGAGGACATCAGCAAGCACGTCACCGGCATTATTGGCGCGGACGAAATACGTCAAGACCACAAAGATTACGACATAAAGGATGGTGGTGCGTCTACTCCTGAGGAGAAGCTCGAGAGCACCCAGAAAGTGTAATCGCGTTAGCTGGGGCCGGCGTTTTCCCAAACAGAGCGCATCACGGTGTAACATATACGTATAATGATTCGTTAGGACGCTGCATACTTTTCACGAACTACTACATCATTCCAGAGTACAGTCCCGGTTAGCAGCTCCGGTATTCCCTCACTCGCCCCCGGTCACACTTGTACTTTATCTCATAAGATATATGATCATCTGATATCTAATCCCACTTGTGCTATCACATCCTGGCCCGACTCTAGACAGCAGCCTCCATCTGATTGCGGTTGTTATCCACTCATATTCTCCGCTGAGGCCATTTTGTACACGAATGATAGGTGGGTACTAGTAACCCAAATAATGTACACTTGTGTTGTATTTAAAACAGGATATCGCCGCCTCGTTGAGCGCGATTACACGACCGCGTCACCATAAGTTCGTGCGTGACGCGATCTGTAGACGCAAGGAAAGGTCAGTCAGTATACACGAAACATTCGGTGCGAATCCTCCGTACATCAAAAGTCCAGTCATCTTGTCGATTGCTCGGTCCGCAAGTCGTCAGGACTCTTGCGTCAGCCAAAGTTGCGCAAGCGTTTTTTAATCCCCCCCTGACGATCGGTCACGTTGTGCGTTGGCAAATCTTCCGAGTCGAAATACCCAGTAACTCCAAGCAACCACATGTCTGTTTGTCAGGATTCACACTCGACTCACCAGGTGGCATTAAGAAGCTGACGTCTCCAACAAGTCATTCACGACAAAACTTGGCACTCGGACTATTTCAGAACAGTCTGAATGTAGAAGTTCGGATAGCTATCAAGGGAGACGATCTGCGTTTTACCAAAGAAACCGTTCGATTGAACTGAAATCATGATAGATAGCCTTGCTTCTGTGCTGGCCCGGCGTCGGGCCGCGGTGGTAAAGCGGACAGCGGAATCACGGAACGATTAACAGCTTCGTGCTGCGGTGAATTATCTGAAGTGAAGTAGGTAGGGCTTGCATTGGAAGTAATATATGATACACTGTGATAGTTGACTCGGATACATGCAGATAGGACGCTGGTGAACTCATCTCGGATCAATCGCAGCACCTAGTCGTCCCGCATGTCAAGAACAATACGACCGACAATCTTACCCTGCTCGAGGCCTTCGTAAGTTTCAGCTAGCGCAGACAAGGGTTTCGCCTCATAGTAGCACTTGACCCGGCCACGAGACGCGATCTCGAGGGCCTCTCGCGCATCTTGGCGATTGCTAACCGGATGCACATTCAATCAGAAGATACACCGCCCAATACAGAGCCACGCACCCAACATACGAGCCGTAAATGCTGATACTCTTTGTGACGGTGAAGAAGATGTCTGCACTGAGAGACGCGTGTGCAGGTAGACCGACGACCATCAGCGAGCCGCCAGGACGAAGGTAATCGATGGCCTGCGCGTAAGCTGCACTCGTGGCGGCAGTAACTACCGCAGAGTGTGGTCCCTGACCGTCGGTAGCCGC